AATATGAAAGTTAATCATTTAAATATCATATTTTTAACTTAGCAAAGAACATTCCAATTTACGGTATATACATCTTGCAAAATACTTTATTTTAGCTTATAAATATGAACTTTTGCGAAATAAAATTAATTAATAAAAACAAAATTAGAAATAAATTGAAACATATTAATACATTACTAGTTGATGACTTTACCGTCTCAGTAAGCCGTGATCAAGGAACCTGTAAAGCGTCCGAAACGTGCTCTTTGAAAAAACAAATATATGAGAGTACATAATTTTTATTTGACGAACTTGGGAGCACTATGAGCGCCAAGTGTGGAGATCCTAAATTGGAAACCCTGTGGAACCTGTGGGCTATGTTTCCTTGGTCTGATACTAATAGTATACCCAAGTAAATTAGTGTGGTTATCTTACACATTACCATTATTTATTTTTCTTGTATTCCTAAACTCTGCCTGCGACCGAGTAAAGAACTTCACAATTTTGTATGACAAATTATATAGCGCCCCTAGCGGTCACAAGAAGAAATAACATTTTGTATACAAAAATTTTACGCGGTCGTAGTGGCACTGACCCTTTATTATTTCCAAAATTTTCGTATGTGCTTTTCTAAGTAAATACCTTGATGTATGCTCTATTGATACGTTTAGCACTCCTTTTTTTGCGTCAAGTGTCAAAAAGATGTAGAGTCAAATATTATATTGGACTTAAGGTTTGGTGATATATTGTAACTTAAAAATACGAGTTAGGTAAACGTAGAGAAGCTGTAATAAAGAAGATATATCCTTTTACATAGTAGTTATAGTTATTGTGGGAAGCACCAAGTACCAAATGTGTACCTATTATATGTACGCTAGCTAAAGCTACAGTTAATCTATATGCTATACTATACTAAAATATACACTAGATTTCTATCTATCTCTTTATTAAAATTATAAGTAGTCTTTATAAATTAATCATCCTTCCAATTTCTATATATTTGCGGTGGTGAGTTTGTTGAAAATTATAAATTACTATTTTATAAGTAATTTCAAATCTTTATCTACAATATAATATTTTTTATCTAAAAATCTCTATAAAGTTATTTATGAAAAATACAAAGTAATATAGTGTGAAAAGGTTCGTTTACAAAGCTTCTTAGAAATATATATTTCTTTCCGAAAGACGTCAAATATATGAGATTATATAAAAAAAAATACTTATTTAAGATGCTCTGAGCAGAATCACCCGATTGCAGACTTTTCGAAGTATGTAGTTAATAAAAGGATTGCATTTGTTCAATACCAAATAGCACAAAACTAGTATTTCAAAACATTTGTTATAATCATAGTTATGTCTAAGAGTTGAATTGCGCGCGGAGCCACATCTTAACGGTATCCGCTACAATCTGTGCGCAACTAGATGGCCACGCGTAAATTATGTAAACAAAAACAGGGGAGTTTCAAAATGGCCACCGTAAAGATATAATGATTTACCGCAAAAAATGTCAGGAAATTAAACCAATGAAGAAAAATTACAATCTAAGGTCTGGTAGTATGGCCAATTAGATGCCTTAGCCTGTTCCGAAGAACAAAAAATTTGACTACTACTAGTAAACAGAAACAACTGCAAAAATTGTCACGCATCTTGCACACGGCCAACTAGTTGCACACAGATTTCTAAAAGGCTAATCACAGACGATCGACATTGCTGCATTTTTTCGTCGAAGGCTGTTTGTCTCGTAGTCCTGTACTACTATGTCCTCCTCTATTAATAAAAATAAATTCATTCATTCAAGCTAAATTCATTCGAATCTTCATCGTGGCCTCGTAAATAGCTTTTTTAAAAAAAGAAGAAAATTTCCACGCTTGGCAGTTTAGTGATCGCAATATGGCTTTTTTTGGAAATAATCCTAAATCACTATATGACTTCAGTACGAAGATACGGAATAGTTTCATCCCTAATCGTCACACAACACAGTACAGATCAATAAAAGCAGTCCAATTTCACGTATATGGATGAGACATCGTCTGCGATGAGCCCTGTCAAAACTCTTTATAAATTCTTCGTAGACTTAAGTCTAGACTTAACCTATCATTAAATTTAAAAAATATATTTATTAAAACAAATTAAAGTATAATATCCTGGTAGAAATTGTTACTAGAGTGATGATTTTTATAAAAAAATAAAAATTAATTAAGAAGATTGCAGATACTAAAAAATGTTTGGGGTGCCATTTTTTTGGTCACAGAAGCAACGAATACCAGAAATATAAAATGAAATAAGTACTATAATAATATTATTATTATCGCTCTATCTCTTTTCAGCTTTAATGAAGTTTGTATCTGTAAAAGTGGGATGGAGTTAGTCATCGATTATGTTTATAGCTGACACATCTCGACTTCGAGTTACCAATTTAATACTTAATTAATGTTCTAAATTTGATGTTACAACATTTTGCTCTTCTATCCTAAGCATTTCTTCCTCTGATCATTTTAAAAGCATGCATATCTACTCATAATAAAAATATAAAGCGTTTTATGTAAAACACCATTCGATCCTTTTAATTATTTTAGTCAATACATAATCGACCTGCAATGTTGTATTTAAGATGTATTAAGTATTATACTGGCTTGTGAATGTTGTACAAAAATATAAGAAACAAAGTGCATAGTTCTTGAACTCGAGATGGCAGCGTAGATTGTTAATAGTGATATTACAAATTAAGTAAAAATAAAAAAAATGTTATTAATTTTAAAGTAGATAAGTTTTAGAAAATTTGATCATGTTGTAACGAGAATATGGGAGGTGTGAAGCTCTGATGGATTTCTTTTTGTACCATATTTGTTGTGATTTTGATGGCATTTAGCAATATTACATGAATTTTGTGTAGCAACAGATGATTATTTCGGATTTTTGTATATTATTAAGAGTACAGCCTGGCATAGTTGAGCTGAGAGTCTGTGCAAACATGATGAGAAAGTAGCGGGAAGAGTATTCGAATTTCGAGTATTCCGTCGTTGTGATTGGCTTAAACATTAGCCATTCACAGCTCGCGTGTACTCTGTCCCACGCTGCCCCACAAGTATGTACAGATATTCGGTTGAATTTTGTCAATGGCAATTTTTGCTACGTAATATTGTTGCTATTGTCAAAGCTTTTAAAAATTGTTAAAGATAACATTGTGATAGTTTCTGAGAATAGTTTATCGCAGATTTAGAAACAGGTTCATTAAATAGTTTAAAATATAATTTTGTCAAAGAGCATCGGCGTTCCCGCGTCGGCTGTCGACGGTATTATGAAAAATTACAATAAAAATTATAAAATAGTGAGTGATGATGTGTTTTCTTACTTGTAATTCCCAGCTAACCAGGATTTTTTTACGTAATAATAATAACTTAAGTCAACAAAAAAGTCCAGCTTTGTTATAATAATGTTATTTAAAAAAATATGTTAGTACTAAATAGATATCAAAATCATAGAACGAATTACAAAGGTGAAATACAAATGTCACAAATGCCGCTTAAGAAGAGATGGAGAGTTCTCTGTACTGGCAATGATTTAAAGTATAGAGTTAAAGATTGTGCAGTCTGCAGAGCATTGTGGCATAACGATGGCTTAATTTCTCAAACACGTATCTTACAAAGATTGATTATTCAGGAGATGGCAAAACTTTTTATGTCTTTTAAATTTCTTATCAAGGGTGTAAATTTGGACGCATTACCTTAAGAACAGGTAAAAGCCAGTGTGTATAAAGAATATAAAGGAAATGTGATATAAAATCAGCCTGTAAAATTTGTACACACAATGCATGTTTTGCGTATCCGTTACTTTGTGCTTTCAGATACGAGTTTGTAGTAGAAAGCAAGGTGATGATAAGACATCTGTACACACACATGCAAAACCTGACGAGCTGCAGAACCGTGATAGCCCCAACAACATCCGAAAACTATTGTTGTATTGTACGCGCTGAACACTAATGATTTTTATAAGTATAGACGAACCAAAAGCTGCATGTGTAATAATCCTGGCAATATGCTTTAAATAGCAACAACATTATTTTTCTCCAGATACTGTCGTTAGAAAAAGAGAATTAGAAATCGCTAATTCTATACAGCCTTTTCTCGGCGGTGACATTGGCTGAGTGGATTATTAGCTTTTACATACGCCACAGCCGCATACATGACATTCACTCTAATTGTGTTAAATATTTAATGTTTGCTTGTTGTTGATGAATTTAGTTTTATTTGTTTTTTTTTTTTGTTGTTTTTTTTTTAATTTTCGGTTCTAATTTTAGCTTTATCTATTTTTTTTATCTTTCTTACTGTGTATTTTTGTATTGTGGCGTAATAATAAATGATTCCCTTTCTATTCTAATTAACAATAATTTTTAATTGCGATGCTTCGAAAGCATGAGTCGGTGTTAGGTTTAATGAAACATCAAATTACCACCAATTACCAACACTTTTAATCATAACATTGTTCAATGACCTAAATTACAAAACAACTAAAATAATATAGATTTATTTTATACTCAATTTTCGTGATTCATCATCCTGAGCAAGTAACTCTCAATTTCTATTTTTATTTTTCTTATCATTTTCTCCGATTACATATATTTCTAAATAATTAAGGTCCATTTCTTTGGCTGGTTTTCTTCGTATATATGTACAATAATAATAAGCTTTGACTCACATTTTTTTTGGTTGATTTTGACAGTGAAATTTTTACCAAAAACTTTCTAAGGATATAAATCGACGATAGGATTATACACAAAGCGACGTTCATAACAATTAGTAGTCTCAAATTGTCGTAGAAATAAAGTACAACGTACTAAGATATGATAACATAGTTTTAATTTGCCTAGCTATATTTGAAGATTTTGGTAGTCGAATTAATCAACTAAATACGTATACTATACGTATACTAAATAATATTCCTATTCGACCATACTTCATTTCCAAGACATGGATTACTTATAATGAAGTAGAGATACGCTTTAAATAAATAAGCCATAGAGTTCAAAGTTAACATACAAAATAGTAATAGATAAAATCGTCTGAAAATTCTTTTCAACTTTTTTATATCTTTCGCATTCTTTTACTTTTATATTTTTACCTCTCAATAAACATTAGGTTCTTTGTCAACGAGATCAATATGGTTATATTGAAATCTGTTAGAAATTCCATTCCTAAAGTTGGCAACCTTTGACGATGGGCCATCCAATCAGAAAGAATTCCAAGTGCGTTGAGAATTCAAAATGCTCCAATAGCAATTAACGCTTGCCGTTGCATTTGAAATCCAGTCGCGTTATAGGCGGGTCTGGCAGCATCTAGGGCTGTGTCTAAAGTACTGCGTGACGAAGACGCGTACGGCAGAAAATAAGAAAGGCCAGTAAAGCTGCAATGGCCGCGCCTGCTATAAAAGTTGAATCTTCTCTTCTTGTGCTGCCAATTCGTTCGACTACTGTACTCTGAAAAACATAAAAAGTTTAAATTGAAATTTAAAAAACCTACGATATAAAACAACACAGTAAAGCAACCATGTGTTAATTAAGAATTCGACGAAACGAAATCAATGTGCCAAAACGTTAATTCTACCGTAAGTAGTTAAGGAGTTTGGTAGTCTACAGACTGTCCTGGTTGCAGCATCGGATCAAAATTAGAATGTTATTGTATTGTCATCGGATTTCCATAGTACATCATATTTCAAATCGATCAGATTGTACTTTAGAGCTGATGACCTTTAAACAGCTGAACTATGTACCATTTGAACTCACAACCTACAAGAAATATCCCGATTAAATTAGCCTTCAAATAACAAAAAAAGGCTGGAAATCAGACACACAGAAAAAGATTTAAAATTTAGAATTACCCTTTTGCGCGTTGGTAGTTAAAAAATATCTCAAAATCCATCTCAGTACACAAATGGTAGTGGTGCAGTTGACAGCTATGTCAATTGCTTTAGGTTCTACCTTAAAGGAGTTCATGAATTGCGGGAAATTCGAAGACAAGACTCTTCACCAATTCACGGAGTTGGACTTACAAACGTCCTTCACATATATGTATTTACATCCATGTAAAGATTCACAAGCCATAATAGGGTCCTAAATATGGCGATGAAGCTGCACGATTCCTTACCCAGCCTCCATGCCTGATAGCCCATGGCGTAGCGCTCTGAGCCACGTGCTTGGCCGCCCAATCCGTCGCTCGACACCAACCTCCCACTCGAACGGCGCGAGCGCACACTTCACATAAAAACGCCAGCACCACTAAAGGACGCTGCTCTATATGGCAACATGCCTGAAAAAGCGTTTCATAGATAATGCTTCTTTTAAATTAATTATTACTTAATTAAAACTTAAATTTGTCGATTTGAGTTAAAATTAGATCTAAGTAATGTCAGTACAACATTCGGGCGCGCTAAAGCCGCCACATTACACAGACGATTCCTCATATCGAACGATGGTCACGATAATCGTATCAATCTGTCGCTACTCTACTAAAGTTATTGAAAGGCAAATGCGTTAGTTATGACAAGGAGGGCAGAGTACTGGAGACACACATTCTTATTTCATTAGTAAATACACTTGAAATGTTAAGCATTCTAAACCATCTGTATGTTGGTTAGACAAATTCAATGGAAGAAGTATAAAATGACATTGTCAAAATACCTGACACAACTCTTGCATTATATCCTCAAACTCGACTTCATCGAGGCACAAGAGTGGTATCTGTCCTGCTCTCTCCGCCAGGCGGCCTTGAGCTTTTGTTTCTCGAAATCTTCTCGCTGCGCGTTCCAAAGCCCTCCAATCACGCCAGTACATCCACCAACCCCTGGAACGAACATATAATAAACCCACACGTAATCATAAGGCTCGTAGGACCATATGTACTCATATGTCCCAAAAATCATACACGCCGTCCACAAAACGAACTAAACATGTTTGTTTACTAGATTTAACCGAATATTAAATGAATACTAACTAAGACTATTCTTTTTATGAAAACAATCATTCATTATGTTTACACGTCAAAGTAAACGCATGCACGTGAACATTAGTGCTTTTATCTCTATTTTACTGAAACCAATTATGAATATGATTTTATAACTCTTCTATTTCAGTATATAGCTTGTAGAATCTATAAACCTTTCCCCTGAAAAGGGGTCATTTTACAGATGGGACCTTATTAGGTACATCAAGGATGCAAATTTGAATCTTGTGAGCGATGTACGTCTTTATCACCGAAAACCTCCAGGCAGCCGCTTTTTATGATTACAATTAACTTTTATTAGAAATAGGAATGAAACTATTTTTCCGGATTTAAATCGCGTATATTTGTTTTTTCAAACAAACCGACGTTTCGGGCCCTTTACAGGTCCCATGGTCACGGTTGACTGTTACGATTTAAATCCGGAAAAATAGTTTCATTCCTATGTATAACAATCGCGAAAACCTAAGAACTTTTATTAGAAAGCCGTTTATACCACATTAAACTTAAATAAACTTACTTCGTCACTAAACGAAAATCTAGCTTTTCAAATTTCAACTTATTTTCTGAAAGATAAAAGTTCATTTCACAAAAGTTGGTTTTTTCGTTTAATGACAATATTGACTTCAACGTGATATATAAATCCACATAATCGGACATTAATTGGACATAGTCAGAAATCAAGTGCTGTTTACAAACACATCATATAATATTTTCGCAATAGACAAATTACAGGTAATTCCAATTAAACTTGAACCAAAAGCATCTTGTTCCTTATAGTAGTAATAAAAAACTTTTCATTAGCAAAAGATCTGTGAACGAGTTCGTTCAGAACAATATTGCCACCTTACCTACTTTGTCACCAAACGGCTAAGTGAGCATTACTGCATTCCGGTTTTAAAGTGTAAAGGTACTGGAGAACAGGTACATGGAACTTGTCCACTTATATCTCAGGATTCTGGACGGAACTTTGCGATTTCAAATTTTGAGTGGCACTGCAACTACTACAGACAGGTGTGTCGCTTAACACTAGGAACATGCCTTGTTCGTCTCGTCAGTTAATTGAATATGAAAAAACTTTACTTTAAACTTTACTAACCTAGGATCAGGACTAGCAGGCGCAACAACACAAGGTGGAGGCCTCAGCTCTTCCAACCTCAAATGCTGTAGTAGCAGTGCCCTGAATAGTCGCACTCCCCTCTCTTCCTCCTCACCCTGCAGGTGTGGTCCTCGCCAGTGTCCCTGGCAATCGTCTCGACGCTCCTCATCCAGGGATACTTGTCTGAGCAGAGGGGCTCTAGGACCTTCGTAATCTTCTAGCGGTTGTACGCTGCATGCAGCTATAAAATTTTACATAAGTTTACATTAGACCATTACCGAACTGAAAGCCTATTAGCCATTACAGTGGTTTTAGACAAGGAAGCCGGATGTAAATACGCGTGACACTGCTTTGATAACGTGAAACCTTGTAACGATGCGACCTCTTTCATCGTCATCCACCATTTTATCACCCTCTTTACCGGTTCCTGGCCACTTACTTTTAAAAATTTGAATCGTTCGAGTTCCTTTTCCTTCATAATTCTAAAGTTAGTTCGTTTCGACATCAGTCTCATCAAAATTCTCGAAACGAGAAGACGTGTTTATCAACATGTAAATCTCCAACTCCACTTAAACTGTTTTTAAAGCATTACATATACGCATATAGGTCCTCTTGGGCCTTTCTTTTCTTCTTCTAATAAATTTATGTGGACCGAGCCATGTCCTTTATTCTAAGGCTTGGCTACAACTTGACATTGAACAATATATAAGAAGGGATCCTTTCGTGCATCCCACGAAAGATTGCCCCTCCACACGACGCGTAATCTTTTACTGTACGGTAGGGAAAACCTGGGCAACTATCGGCGAGTACCATACGCCGATTGGTAAATCTTTTCACCGCGATGACAAGCATTATGGCTTCGATACGATAAATAGAAGAATTTCAATTTATGCGTCATGTTATTTCTAAATCTCCTGACTATTCGAGGAAATGATCCTGAACCTAAAAGTACTATAAGATTATCAAGTTTATACCACGTTCCAAAATAAGGTAAATCAACCCATAACCTAAATAAAATTTAAGAGAGAAGAAATGATAACCGAGGAATGAGATTTGTGACATGAAATGAATAGAATTATACAATATACATTGTAATCAACCCGCCAAGGAAAACAAAAGCCGCAATAAAAACCACCTTTTACAGAAGGTGCTACCTCAATTTTTACGTACAATACACAAAGAGAGTACAAATTCCAGTAACAGAAAACAAATACCATTTCACATTAGAGGATTAAAAAGGTTAAAAAAGGTTAAAAACAAAATTGCTTAGTTCATTTACTAACACACCCCCGCCAGGCAACAATGTTATTTAACTACACAATTTTACTATCAGATCTGACCTCTTTTAGGATGATTATTATATTATACTACTAAAACTTACCCTGGACAGCAGCTATAGGGGGTACAAGGTCCATTTTCTTAGCAAAATTGTCACTTAAAATAATAAATTCAAGAGACGTGAGGTTCCGACCAAGGTCGTGATAAAAGTGACAGAATGTTGGATGACCTTGTGTACGATGGGTCACGGCCTTGACATAATTTTTCACGCATGCGCTGTTATAAAAGGAGGGCCTGTGCTTGAAATTTAAATGTAGCGTGCGTGTATTAAGATGCATTATATTATAATACGTCGCCGACAAGTACAACTCGTGTAGATTAGTTGTATAGTTATTATATTATATGTCAGTAACAGTAAAGCTTCTTGAGAAAGAGTTCATCCATGGTAGCACTGCCTGCTTACCTATTTCTGCCGGCAAGCAGGCAAGCGGCAAGGCAAATTTCGCACATAAATTCCAAAAAAACTCTGAGATACGACCCTAGATTAGAAACAACGACCTCTACTTGAGAGGCGGTAGATCAAATCTAAGGCTACGGATTGTGGTAGCCTAAAAATCATCTAAAATGAAAAAAATAATAAACAAGGAAGAAAAACTGGCCCGCTGGCCCGAACGCCATACAAGCGTGCCCTTGCTGCTCTCAATCGAGCAGCTGATACAATTGATTTATTTCATTGCACCTTGAGTGAAATCAAAAAGGTTACCTTACATATAATATGTCGTGATTCTTAAATTATTGTATTTATGTGCCTGCTCTAACGAATTAGGTTTTGTCTGTAATGTTAGTCAAGTTGTTATGTACAATAAATAAAAAATAAAATTAAAGAAATAAATACAAAACTGCAAACATTGTTCTTAGCACACATTGGTCTTAATACTAGTTCTCACGTAGTAAGAACAATCTCGTGGTGGTTAATATTGAACATCTGCAAGAAGACTAAAACAGAGATAAACAAAAGACAAACGATTGGGCCCGTCAGACGGCCTTATGTACTGTAGTCTAGGCTCTACTCTATGAGTAGAACTACTGGCTGAGTGAATATAGTTTTATATTTAGAATGTGTTTTGAAATAGGAAATTAGAAAGAATAGAACGTCTTGATCATTGACTTACAAATAAATGGACGACGGGTCTAATACAAAAACCACGAAAAAAATGTCCCAAGTCAACCTATTCGAAATTTAAATTGTAATGTCATCACAGTATCGCGTTGTCAGTCGAACAAATGAAGACTAAAGCGGAGTGTCGCGCTCTGTATACGATTTTAGCGCCTTACAAGTGCGGACACTTTTTAGCGCGGACCCGACGTCCATATAATTGTAAGTCAATGGTCTTGATAGTTCGAGATGTAACCTCAGTAAGAAAATATGTAAAAAAGTACAATAAACCAAGTTTTGAAGATTATATTTATAAAAGTACCTCTCGCTACGCAACACGAGCTACGTCCAAGTTTACAGTACGTACGTAAAAATTACATACTTACAAATGATAGGATGGCATAAGTTATGCGTAGGCATTGATATATGGAGCTGGATAAATGTAGAAATACATTTCGTACAGGCGGTGTAGATGTAGAAATAACAACATTAACGAATAGACATCGTAGTCTCACCAAAAAGGAAATTTTTCTTCCAAAATATGTTTGGCTTAGATCATAGGTTCTTAAGCAATATGAAAAAAATTCAACTCCCACCACCACAACAAAAAATTATTGAAAATACATATGTTGTATATTAACTTGACACAAAAAATCACAAGTAAAAAAAATGTAGTGTAGTTTTTATAGATAATTCGCGCTTTTTTTTTCAATTGCGGTAGCACCCCTTGGACATCATCAACGCCTCCCATTACTTCCGAGACCTCTAACGCCCCTCTAGAACTCTTCATGGCCCGCTGGTGGGCGGAAGGGACCACTTGGGGAAAAAATGGCTTACATGAATACATATTTATACTCGTAAAAAAATAACAAAGTACCAACTAAGTACCTAGTCCGTGTACTACAACTACTACAACTGTCGATTGTCTGATTGAATCCGTTCATTGCTTTAATAGATGTCTGGGGACGTAGTATAGAAAATTATTGAGTATGTCACGTTTGTGTACAACTACCGTGGACCAAAAACGCCAGATCGCAAATTAGATATTCTAGAACCAAAATACAATTGAGTGCTGGACATTAAAATCGTTGTATACTAAACAAAAAGTTGACAAATAAGAAGTAGAATAATTTTTTATACAAAACGAATAAATGATAATTTAAGTATGGAAGTATTTGTTATACATTAGTGTCAGTTCCAGGAGTACTATTACTTGCTTAAATATTTTTATAAATATTGCATAACTAGCATTAAAGATGTCTTTTTACTAAAATAGACTGTAAGACAAGACTCAATTGCCAGTTATCGGCGGAGCTTGTGCAACTCGTATCGTACCGGAAGACCCATATTGTTCGGATTAGGTTCAGATAAATCGCTCTGGACACACGCGTTTGAGCTACTAGTGAAAAATAATAATAAAATCTCCTTAGTCAATACTAAAATTGGATAAAGATAATGGAAGTTTCAAAAACTTCAAAAGTTGAATTAGGAACAGAACAATAAGTGCGAACGTTGAACTATGTTCTGAATTTAAACAATAGTTGAACATAAAATTTGTGTTTAAGTGCCAGTTATGTGAACAAAAATGCAAAATAAACGGAAACTGTCTACAGACTCTACAGTCACAAAATCGTGTTGCCAAAGATTGTCTATATTCGCATGTGTTTGTGCTATCGTATCTTTACTTGTCAATTTTTACAATTATACAGAGAGAGACACTTTCAAAGTTATAGAAGCATCGAATTTAATGCATAATATTCTAGATGATAAGGTGAAGCAAAGAATAGAGGCTTACTTTAAGGAATTGACGAGAACTACTTCGCTTCGGCTAAAAAGAGAAGCTTTGTTGGTAAGAGCTAGTCGAATAGCAAGAATATTGTCACAAAAGTCAGCTAAGTAACATACTTACGGCGATGGCGCTTTTACGTCCAGAACGTAGCTTTGTATTCAGTCTTCAACGCCCGAGATGGAAATAATTTTGTTTAAGATAGTGAAACATTCTACTTTTCACTCCCCCTGCAAGGAGAATATCAATCTTCTTTATTCGGTCTCCTTAGTGGCGTTGTGTTGTTAAACATAAGACTGAAATTCAAGTTCGAAATATAATTGTCATCGTTGCCCAATAAAAATAGCCAATTGAATATAAGTCAACTTAGTTAAGTTTCCCCGTTTTAAAAACAACCAAAAAGTCAAAACACCTTGTAAGTGGAAAGCTTGAATAACCACGAAGAGCCAAGGAAAATAAGAAAAAAACTATTTTGCTCCCATTCTTCAAGAGAGTACTATAGAATTGCAGAAACTTTCCACAAAGGCATGACCTTTTCCGGACTTGAAGGAATGAACAGTCATTTTTCAATTACAGTTTCTACGTTTTGAACAACATACTGCCATTAATTGCCTTTACACTGTCTTTCTATGCGAAGGTCATACAATTAAAAAAACTTTTATTATTTTCGTATTCGAACGTCGTATTTCGTATTTTCTTATTCCAGTAGACATTATACTAAAATATTATCTAATAAAACTATTTTTTCAAATCTAAATAGCGGTAATTTTATTTTTTTAAATAAATTAACGTTTCGGGCGCTTTACAGGTCTCAAGGACACGGCTGTCTGATATACGTGTTCTAGATCTGAAAACCATTTCATTTCTAATATGTTACAATACTGAAAACCTTAGAAAACTATATATATAATAATAATAATAATAACGCACACACTCAACATAGCCCTGCACTAGGGAAACCCTGTGTCGCGGGTGCTATGGACACACACATAGACAACCACAAATTACATCCAAACTCACGAGAGAAATAAATGTAGGCCATACAAATATTTCTCCCGGCCCGGGAATCGAACCTGGGACCTCTGCGTGGCAGTCCGGCATGGTAACCGTTCGGCCACGGAGGCAGTTGTATATATATATATATATATATATATTATTTAATATAATATGTAATACGCTAGTACATACATATCGCATAATATTATTTAATTATCAGAGAGCACTAACCCGAGAATGATCCAATTAAGAAACCTAAAGAACGCTCTCACTCGAAAATTATATTGTCTATAGACTGAAATTATAACGGACTAATCCATCGCTGCAAACAGATCAATAAGTCTGTGGGTGACAGCTAAAGGACCAGGGTCATTTTCAGGTTAATTTACCTATTTCGGTGGCAATTTTTGTCATTTAAATATTCCAGTACATTATCCAGAAATATTAACTAACTTTTCAAGATACTCGAACACTAAATAATACTTCATGATAACATTGTACAATAGCCAAATAATGAAAAGTTCCACCGTAATTAGGTAGAGAAAAATACCCTGAAAATGATCCCTTAAGTCCATATTTTGGCATTCTAAATATTGCTTTAGAATCATTCATCATCACGCTTTTTAGCGCGGACCCCACGTCCATTTGTTAGAGGTCAATGTTTATAATGCTAAAAATCACGTACTGGTCAAAGACATGAAGGCTTGTCGTCGTTTATTTTTATTTAACTTAAATTATTTGACCTAAGATTGATTTTTAATGCCTAATTAAGAGCCTCATTCTCTTTAAAACGCTCTGTAGTAAAAAATAAATTGGACTCTTAAAGTTCCTTACCTCTCCACTACATAAATTACACACGCATCAATTGCTAATTTGACGACAAGTTTGAGATTTTTTTATAATACCAAGTGACGAGACGAACAAGTCGTGCGCCTGGTGGTGACCGACACTCCTGTCCATAACAGTTGCAATGCCACTCAGAGCTTTAAACCGCAAAGATCTCAGGGGCACTGCCACTTCGCCCGTCACCCTAAGATTTAAGTTGACAAATCCCATGTGCCTTTAACTTCACCAGCACCATTACCCTACCAATCCGGAACTCAATAATGCTCACATTACTGCTTAGCGGCCGAAATAGGTAAGGCAGTACTTCCCAGGACGAACTTTTATAAAGATTTCTCTTATTGAGATCGCAAAATTTATTCCTACAGAAAACGTCACCAGATCAAGAAGACAACACGGTAGTACCCCATGTAGAGTTCTACAACCCAAAAATGCGAGGTGAGCTGGAAGAGAAAGACGCCGCTGAGATGGCCAGGACGGGAGCAAAAGGACCAGCCCCAGGCGGTGACAGTTGGGTCTGGTTGACTAGCTACTCCAGAGTTCCAGTAAGTAAACAAAATGCAACCCGCGAGCCATTCTTAATTCTTCTTCATCTTTTCCGAAAACCTTTTCCGAAAGTAGTCTCGTAGGTCGTAGGCTCTTTGAAATTTTGAGAGAGGTTCATGGCTAGAAAATGGTTAAGAAACCGTGACAATTGCTTAGTTCCATCTGAACGGAAAGGAATAAATCGCATTCTTGCAGTAAGTTGATTAAAGCTATGAGACCTCTAAAATAGAACTCTTCCAAAGTCAAGTATGTCTATCGACACCGATGTACGGAGCCTCAGTTTAGGCCCACGACTAAAAGTTAAAAGATATACGAGGGGGTAAAGGTTTTTTTTTTGAAATATTAGATTACCCTATCAAATTTAAAAAAAAAATCAATATGAATTTATTAAATTATTTATTTACTTACATATATTTAAACAAAACCGTGCTTGATCCCTAGACACTTTCGATGTGTTTCAATGTGTTTTCTTTGCACAGTCCTTAGTCGTTCAAGATTTCTGTAAAGCAACTCAGAACTACTGCCCGCCTGGCGTTCAAGGACCGAAAGGATCGCGAGGAGAAGCAGGTCCCAAAGGCGAGAGGGGAGACCCAGGAGCGCCAGGCTCACCTGGCAATAATGGCGGGAAAGGGCCAATGGGTCCTCCAGGGCCTAAAGGTAAATTATCAGAGTTTGAAACAGTTAAGTAATTTAAAACTTTTTTTATTTTATTTTATCAAGATGAGCAAGCAAGTCGTGCGCCTGGTGGCAAGCGAACACATACCCGTAACAGTTACAGTGCCACTCTGAGTTTTAATGGAAAACTTCTGAAGAGCACTGGCGCTGCACCTGTCTTACAAGTCCCATGTGCTTGTAAATTCACCTATGTTATATACCCTTCAAAACAAACAGGCTTGGAGGAAGAAATTAATATGGTGGCAGTTTTGCGTGGTCGAATTCTTTCACAAAGCATGATGTAACGAATTTCTATTTAGGAGAACGCGGTTTCCCTGGCAACCCGGGGCTAGACGGCAGAGATGGTGTACCTGGTGAACCAGGACTTGATGGATTACCTGGCAGGAACGGTGCTGATGGGGCACCGGGTAAAGATGGTCGAGATGGCATTCCTGGAAAAGATGGAAGCCCGGGAAAGAATGGCAAGGATGGAAAGGATGGTAAGACATGCAATAACTGGTAAAGTAATAATCAACAATAGTAATCATAGTACATTTCAAAGATAATGGAGATTACCTACTATGCCTGTTATGCTACTAACTATTCTATATAATAACTCATATCTCTCATCATAGATGTTGCTGGCACCATGTTTGAAGAGTGTTTAGTATTAATGTGTTCGGATCGGTTTCTTTTTTATTTAAGGTTTTTTTAACAGGTTATAATTTATTAATACAAAGATCGAACACAAACAAAAATTCATTTGATCCGACTAGACTCGTACAGTCAAGAGCACGTCAAGCTTGATACTTTGTACTTTGGACCGTTCTTATCGTAAACGGCATAGAGTTGTATTTAAATCTTATCTAAGTATCAAACTTGACGTGCTCTTGACCTTGTACCAGCATCTTCACCATACCGTAGCTGACGCTCACCCAACTGAACTACAGAACGAATCAGCAGACCTAGATCCACATAGAAAAATTCGTAAAGTCTGCTGAAGGCGCTGGTTCAATTGTTCAATATTATATTCATAATTATAACAAACAGTGGAGAGTAATTTAACAAAAAATAAATGAATATCATGATATTAAAACATCGTGATATTCAATCAATTTAATATTATGTGATACAGTTACAGTACATTTTTTTTTCAGGTAGGACAGGTCCTCAAGGACCCCCAGGCCCTCGAGGCTTGAAAGGAGATCGCGGACTGCCAGGACCTAAAGGTCATAACGGTACAAACGGGCAGAATGGTCAACCAGGACGGCCAGGCCTCTCCATTTATAACTATACTAAGGAGAATCAACTGCTAGTGCCGCCTACTTTTGCTGGTTGGTTTCGATACATTCTAAATTGCACATAATTTTGCATGGACTACTGTTTACTTCTCGAACACTCCATACGTCTATGATTTCTGTTACCAGGAAACCACCACAGAGTAATAGTAACTGAAGCTGAGCCCCTTCGCATCAGCTGCAACCCTGCGGGTTACCCTATACCTACAGTTGAATGGCGAAGAGACGATTCTACTCCTTTGGCACAGGTAAATTTCGTCGGTATATTTCACAAATCAGTGAAATTCAAAATGAAGATTCTAAAATTTTATTACACTTTATTCCACAATAAAAAAAGGCTAAAATTAGATAAAAACTTCTAATGTAAAATAGACTACAAAACATTTTTAATGTCCTTGTAGTAGAACCATGTTGACTTTTGTTTACCGTTCAAGGGCAATGATAAGCAAATTGTTTGAGGACACATTTAAGAATAATTAAATATTTTAAAGGAAATTCAAAAGTCCATTTTTAATTTAAGAAAAAAAACTCCATTACTTTGTGTCGTAATGTTGATGGTAGCTTGGCGCTGAAAATCAATTGATTACGGCAAATCTGGCAACTACAAATTAATATACTTTATATATAAAGTAATATCTTGGTGGGGAAGTTAGAAAACATTCACAAATAACCGTAAGGCAGTTACTTAAAAACTGACCTGAAGGAAATTTATAATGAAATCATAAATACACAATTACCAAGTAGACCGTTATAACGCACCCTTAATGTAATAAGAGCTCAACTACGAAATAATAACTTTTCAGGACAGAGATTTAAAGATTTTACGAACAAAATTAGATAAGATATCGACATATCTTCTGCTTAAATAGGAGGATTTCACACATACATAATCTGTTTCACGATCGTATTATTTTTATGACTTTCATTTATTCATGTGATAAAAAACTTTCGACCTACGATCACCAGTTATGGGAATTAAGGGAGTTAATTTAGCTAAACTAATAAAGACTAACGTGGACTTTCCCTTTTAAAAATAATAGAAACTGATTACTCTGAAATATGCGTATTATTTATTGAAAAAAATAATATTGTAGTTGTGTTTTGTTTAGGTACTTACGTATTAAATACTTTAGCCATTTAAAAAATAAACACGAAGCAACCTAAATATTGAACTGTTTAGAAAATAATAAGTAAAAAAAAAAAGGAAATTTTATACGCATTGATGACGAAAGGGGTGTGTCTCTAAATTCCGATCATTGAATGATCACATACCAAAAGTGTGATAAATTAGTAATATAAAGAAAATTAGTAAGAAAAATAATATTAGCCCGTAATGTAATATGTAAATGGATCTATAAGTGTAGGAGGAAACCTATGATATTTTCTAACCTGAAGTAATGAAATGGGTACAATGGATGATGGTGTTAATAATTATAACAACAGGGTAAATGGAGAGATGTAGCAATCAGTGGCAACCTACTCAGTATCCCGAAGGTGAACCGTTGGCATACTGGGCGATACGTCTGCCTCGCCAATAATGGAATACTGCCCCCTGTCAATCAAACTACTGATGTGGAAATCACCTGTAAGTAGGATAGGAGTAGGACGTCGCAAAGTTTTACAAAATTTTACAATTTTCATCTTAATGCTTCATCCAAATACTTCGTATGAGATTGTTATTTAACTTTTGATGTGCTATTATTTTTTCAGTTCTCAATATACTGACGCACAGAAAAATAATGTTACTGAAGAGCCAGAGTTAAAAAAAGTCCAAGAAATTATGTCCTGTTTTTATTTGTTTGAGTCAACAAACAGTAGATACAGAATGTCACCTAATTTATCTACCTAAGTCACCTTAATTTTAATGATTAAAAACAATAATCGCTTTAAAACATTACTAATAGGGCAGGTCAATGAAACAGCAAACAATATGTTTTTAATAATTATTTTATTTAATTTCATGATGTTCTTACTACCACAATTATCATCTATTTTTTGAAAATACTCCACTAGTATCTTATTATTATTATACAAAGATCAAAGAAACACCTGAGGCTACGTTTTGGCAACATACACTGGTTCGAGTCCAGTCGGATCGTAGGAACTTTTCTTTGTGTTTTTAACCAAGGAAAGGAGGAGGAGGTCCTCAATTCAACTGTATTTTTTTGTATGTTGTGAACCGATTTTACTGATTTTTTTTTGTTGAAAAGAGGGTACCTCATTATTAGTTCTATTTAAACTTGAAGAAAATATTCCACCTCTAAGGGTGGCAAGTTTGGTGATGAATCCGGTTTCGCACACTTTCCGGTCGTATGCAAATAGATGTAATTCCATGAATTTTTACGGCCCGTTTTTTTTATAAAATGTTATATTATTCGGTCTTTGTATCAATAATAATATTATTGTGTATTTAATTATTGTATAATAAAGTGGTTATTGTATAATTACATTTTTTTTTTCAGTCAGTCCTTTCGTACAAACGCCAAATAATGTGATCTACTTACAAAAGACAGACAAGGTTGCTAAACTCGAATGCGCAGTAAGTCAACTTAGAACATAATAAATAGGTTTCCAAAAAAATTTCAACGCCCACCACAATATTTGGATATCACGTATTTTTTATTTTAACTTAACGCAAAAAGAGACAAGGACAAAAATTTCATATATGTAGCGTAGTTTACATAGATTATTTCAGGTTTTACTTCAAATGCGGTAGCACACCCTGGACAGCATCAACCCCCCAATTGCTTTCGAGGCTTTAGGGCTGTAAGGACCACTTTGGGAAACTATGACATAATATAACAATATGTTGCTCCGTTTATTGCCTATCTACAACCTACAAATACAATTTTTACACGCCATTCAACACGGTATTCAAAATTATCAAACAGAACTAAAATTAATTAGAATGCATTGTTGATTTTGTTAAAAATGCGAAGAAGTATCTATCCATCGATAATCCAACTATATATTTTACTTATTCAGCCGAAACTTTTCAGGTTGAAGCGTGGCCCGAGCCGGTATTAGCTTGGGAATTTAGAGGCGTCACTTGTTGTACAGAAGGTTTACGTTACAAGATGGAAACAGTTCTAACTCCTCTTAAATTTCGATTCATCATAAGGCTGGAGATCCACGATATCACGCAGAGAGATATTGGAAGATATAGTTGTGTTGCTAAAAATGAGATGAATAATCAGACTGTTCGAAGCAATATTGAGTTGAAATGTAAGTTGAAGAAAAAAGAAAGAATTTTTGGCAAAACAAAGACAGTCTCTTGTATTCATACTTTGATCGTCGCCTGCTTTTCGTCGGCTTATTGCAAGAAGTCACAATGACTTACATACAATAATCCGACGTTATATCCATTTTATGCCACTAATATTGACAGTGCCGTACCGGTACCAATACTGGTCACCAATATTAGTTGTATCTTATTACTTGATCCGGTTTCTTTGGTAAACTTTAACAGTTTGTCAAAGTTTTTAAAGCTGAAGGAGAAATCTTTCGGCTGATGAAGATAATCAATACTTACAATTTGACAGACGTAAACCCAGGTGAGACAACACCGAAACCAGTACCAGTGGACTACTGGTCCCGAGCGCCGTATTCTCCATCTTACGAAGAACTATGCCAAGATAAAACCTGCCCGACATGTCCAAGGACCTGTGAAACCAACCTGATGATACTTTCTATGAATGACACTTCGCAGCATGGATTAAGTAGACATAGTAGTGAGTGATATCAATTTCCCATTTATTTATTTGTACATAGTTTCTACCAATAAATCTCATCATGTTACTAGAGTTATCATGTTACTATAGAAATTGCTGTACTTTTACAGTAATTTCTATAGTGACATGATAACTCTATCGAGGTGTATAATGTAATCATCAAACTATAAACGTCCCACTAGACGCGATTCTGTTCTTAGAATGATAATAATAATGGGCCAGACCACCTCACCAGTTACCTGTCTCAAACTAGGGAACTCGCTGTACTATGAGTACCAAGCTACGGAGTTTGTTCTGTAGCCTACCCAGAGTACCCAGGTCAGAACCAATTTAGAAACGTTTATGTCCGAAACTGATCCTACTAGGAAATAAACCCTTGAGCCATCGAGGTCGTCACACGCTGGTCAATACCGATTAAGAACTTCACAGGTCTTGGATGAGTTTTTTAAACCTTCTCCGAAAATTAGTAAACTAACCTGTCTACGGTTCAAAAAAAATCAGTGGTGCAAGCCATTGGGCTTGCACCACCGGTTTTTTTAGAATAAGAAGTAAAATCTACACAAGAAGCAAGCGTATTCCCCGCTAATCTGTTACTCATGACCTTAGTTACCTACTCAGCTGATATGTTTTCTTTTGTACATCTGCTCGACGAGTTAAACAAAACCACAATGCTGAGGAGCCTTAAGCCGGTGCAGATAAATTGAAACTACTTTTACTTGCAAATGACGTTGTTTTTCAGATTGTCAACTCTACGCGATAGGGAAACCTGTTTATCATCGGTACAAAGAAGAACAATTTGGGGCTTGGCTTAGAGATTCCAATGCTTCTACAGATATTCAGGTAAACTTTGTTTCTATCTTTACGATAGGAAAATAATCACATTTCATAGATGAACAGCTTCGTAGAATGTTCATTCACAAACTTGTATGGGACCGAACTTCATATACAATTTTTAGTGTTTATTCGATATTGTTTCAGAGGGAAAAACTTTGGACAACCCAAGAATATGACGTAGAGAGACTATTGGAATTCAGAACTAAAAGCAGATTTAAAAGTAATACACCGGATGAATTTTATAAACTTCAGAAACCATTCTTTGTAAGGCTTATTTATCTTTCATCATCATTTTTAAATTAATGCTCTAAATAATTCTAAGTATCTAAATACATTTCTTGTGTAACGCTGTTACCATTTTCATAATGATGCTTAAGTTATTTATGATATTTGGAGTCTTAGGAATCAATTAATCGTAGAAATATTTATTTAATACGCTATAAAGTTTGAAGTTCATTAACGACTAAAGAAAGAAAAAGAGCATAATGAGGGCCGGCCGCAGGAGGATACTGTGGCTTCACGACATAAGTCACTGAATGTGGATACAACATTGTTATTATGTGTAGTTAGTTGTCTCTAAAATTGAAATAGTCTTAATTGTTACCAACATCTAATATAGGACGGCAATTGTAGAAGTTTTACAACCTCCTTTACTGTATTTTTTCCTTATATCCCTGTTTCAGGGCAATGGTCATATAGTATACAGTGGATCATTCTTCTATCAAGCGAATGAATCTGGTATACCTGGAGACATCATTCGCTACGACCTCAATCAGAGCCGAATCAAGACCGTACAACTACCATATGCTGGTGGTCGGTTGTACAGCTCTCAACACAACCAGGTATCTATGATAGATAAGTGTTAAAGATTTGGAAGGTCAAAAAGAGATGAGTCTTTATTTATTTTACAAATTTATAGTACCTACCAACCCATTAGCCATGTATTCAAAATTATCTTGGAAATTTGTTTTCTCTATCCATATCTACGTAATGGTTGGTTTTTTGTGTTCATCCCAAAAGAAAATACACCAATACAAATATACCAAGCACACACACTGTAAGCAAGATGTAAATAATTTAAAAAGTGGAAACTGGTTAATCAAAACAAACTCGTTCATAATTTTTCAGGTTGATTTCAGTGCTGACGACAACGGTTTATGGGCTATCTATTCAATCAAAGGATCAAATAACACAGCAGTTGCCAAGGTAACCTTTTACTAACTCTTATTAGTCTTTTTAAATGACGGCACAAAAAAGGAGAGTTATAAGTTTGAAGCCATTGTCTGTATGTCTGTCTGTGGAATTGTAGCTCATAAATGGCTGGTCTGTTCTTAAAATAGTTTTTTTTTATTTGAAGGCTAATTTAGTCAAGATGGTTCTTAGCTATGTTCGACTGTTCATTTATTTAAAGGTTATCAGCTTTTTTCCCATTTAGTGTTGGGTCAGAATATGAATGTTTGTTTTATTTGTCAGATTCACTTGAAATTTGGCATTCCATGGAAATCCGATGTACGTTACAATAATATGGATAGTCTGCAGACTATCCAACTCTTCAACTACTTATAATAGAACTATTGTGTTTATTAGGTTCATGAAGCGATCGCGACAATTTGTTAGCTTACCTACAACTGACTTAATTAGACCTTATTGCTTTTTTGGAGTACACTAGTTTGTGTAGTGATTTGTTAAGCTTTAATTCAAGTGTTTTGCAAATAAATGCTGTACTAGACGACTTTATTTTGTTTCAGCTCAGTTTCAATCCTGACATTATCGACTTGAACATTGACTATCTCTGGAATATCTCTTTGAATCATAGACAAGTAAGCATTGTCAAATGTTTTACTCAGGAATATTGTTGCCCATTGCCGTCGCACATAAATGGCTCTAAAAAATAAGGCTTTTATCGTGGGATTACCACGCTTGAGCTTTTATTTTTTGTGACGGATAAACGGTGCTAAAAAAACTTCATTGGACAACGCAGTAGTTTTTCACGACGCCTGAGAAGTTACACAGTGGCTGTTCGTTACAACGACGGCGTCCATAGCACAAATTAAAATTAATTCTACTTGCCCCAAAAAATTATCCTCTTCACATTTTGTTTTATTATAATTATTATAATTTTCTAAAATAATAATGAATAATTATAAAATTGCAGATGGGAGAAATGTTCATTGTATGCGGTGTGCTTTACGCCCTGGATTCGGCTACTGAGCGAGAAACAAAAGTGAGCAGGGCAGTCGACTTGTACCTGAACCAACGCAGAGAAGTATCTTTGCAGTTCACCAACCCGTTCCGGAAGACTACACAGCTGGGTTACGATCATTTGCATAAGGTAGGTAGTGATTAAGTTTCAATAAACTTAATATTCAATAATATTAAAATGTTTTACTACCATGATATTCAATTATTTTTTGTGAAATTACTCCGCTAGTATTATAATTATTTAAAACTGTAAAGGTCTGACTGAGTGAAGAAAATCTTTCATAGATTTCTCACTGATGGCGCTACGGCAAAAAGTTGTTAAAAGCAAAAGCAGAGCTCTGCAATAAACACATAGAAAAATTCGTAAAGTTGTTGGTCTGTTCCTTAGCTCAGTTGGGAGAGCGTCAGCTACGGTATAGTGAAGGCGCTGGTTCCAATCCAGCCGGATCAAAGTTTCTTTGTGTTATATCTTTGCATTAACAATAATAACAAATGAGTTGAGTCTGTCAACCAGTAGTACTCTGACGTACCCTGCACGATACTATCTGCGATGTAATGTATTATGTATGACCGTAGTATAGTAATGCCAATCTAGTCGTCATTGTCATCACCAATCTATTTACGTCTCTTTTTACTGGTCTTTACATGGTCCACCACGCTGTTCCTTTGCGATTTAAGGACTTTAACGTTAAAAAGCGTTTATGATAGTGTGATATATAGTGCTGGTGAAATTTCACGCAAATACCACTTGGTATCATAAAAAACCTACAACTCAACTGATACTTTTGCTAGAACTGTATCCCAGCATCAACACAATTGTCAACAGAGGTGCTGAAAAAAATATACCCATAATACCCACTAGTTCTGTTGTACAATTGTGTTGACAGAACTGCTGGTACTTTTATCCTATTTGTTCTGTAATACATGGACATAGTTTTCTTCACAGAACAACTGCGAATTTTCTCTTCCACTAGTTCAATATAAGTGCATCTTCCCACCAGGCACCAGGCATACTCTCGTCAGACGTCTTGTTCTTCCCGTCACTTGATATTATAACAAAAAAGAAATTGACGACAAAGCCCGTACACGAGTAGACAACGCTGTCAGTTCCTAATTTTGTCCGTTGTGACGAAGTTCTTTGTGACGCCCACCCATGGGAAGCCATGGAATTTAATATATTTTTTTAATCATTTAATGTTACAGGAACTATACTCCTGGGACAGAGGCAATCAACTCACATACCCAGTTCGCTCTCACGAACTACCTGGACCATAGACGGACATAATTTTGTATTTGATTTTTATAAATTTCAATAAAAAATCGTATTGAGGTATTATAATTGTATTATTTGATTTTCTAATCGGAAATTAATACATGTTTGGTTAGAGCTAATATTCTGATTTATCTATCTGGATTCTATTAGTGTTTTTTTTTATGTACTGATTTTCTAATGTGACCAAACCACCGAGTGACCAGACCAAAGCCCCCAAATAAATAAAAAGAAAACGAAATTGCTTAAATTTGTTCAACCATTGCGGCATAATTGAGAAATAGTTATAGAAATTTTATTTTTATAAACAATATAAGGTCAGATAGCAAAGATATAACAATTGATAGATGGTTTTAAAAATTGTACGTCGTAAGAAACCACAACAAAATAAAATAATTCTTGCTACTCATTTCTTCCCGAGACTTATAAAACCTTGCGAACAGCGCCACCTATGCAGGCATTCACGTACTTATTCGAATTAAAGCAATGTAAAGTTAGAGTTACGGCACGCCACGACTCCATTTAAACCGTTCGGTTACAACTCTACAATTCTAATAAACTTAGGCACGTATAGATGGAGCTATAAGTCAAATAGTTTCTGCATTAATAAATTGTCTAATAAAAAAATAACTGATTGTCAGGGAAAAAATTGCCTCTGCTCATATACATAACTTTAGATTCTCTATGAAAATGAAGATAATATTACTCACTATATCAGTAAGCAAAAAATACAGCGTTAATAAAAAAATATAAACTCAAATAGCCTGTTTGAATATAACATCAAACGATGTAATTTGTACATAACTACGGCTTCAAAGATGTATGCATAACGTACAGCGCACTTTGAAGAAAAACAATACCAATAAACTATTTCCCCTACAATAAAAGACCCCTCTATAAAAACATCAGCACTTAGTATAAGTTAAGCCTGGCAACAACTGTCCTACGAACAAAACAGGATGAAAACTTTGATTCACATTTCCTCCTATTACCGCTTGATCTCTATTAATTTTCTTTTACCCCTCCTTTATATATTTTCTAATTGGCACACTTTGTCACTTCCATTAGTTTTTACCTCCAAGTGTTGATGGCATCAATTAGTTCGAACTATGATTATACTTCCTTGCTTTTACATAATATGTTTACTGCGTAATAAATATGTAAATAGGTACTAAATATCACTAATAGTAAAAAGTTAGTCATGTTCAACTTAAATAAATTCCACGAGGCTAATTAATTAACAAAAAAAGTAAATTAAACCTTCACACTTAAAAGTATTTTTGTAATAGAGCCAAAAATTTACTATAATTTACCGAAACAGAGGTCCGTAGCCAAACCTTATGCTATTATATAAAACCATCAAACAACTTATTGAATACAATAAATTGTTGTAACCTACCATACAGTGTCAGAATTTTGACAAGTTTAAGTATCATTTAAATTGACCCTTATATCTATCGCCACGTTTAAATTACCTACTGACTTATTAAATCTGTGCACGCCCATGTGATATTATTATTTAAAAAAATGTTACGCCTAATTTAGTCCATTGAAGTGCATGTATGCCCAATATTTAGCCGGACACCTATACTTACATTATCAACTCCTATAGAACCTGCGCTGTCACAAATAAATGAGCAGTAGCAGAATTTTTCGTCCTCCGAGACAGGCTAAGGCGTCTAGAAGCCAGATCTTAGATTTTGATTTTTCTTCAATCAAAACTTGTTTTGAATTTTATCAATTGGTATACAAACTTAGACTAAAAGTAAATTCGTATGAAAACTGTATCTACAGAAACCGCCATTTTCTTTTTCTCAAAAATAAATTAATTATGAGAACGCAAGGGTCTTCAACTATACAGCCAAAAGAAATCATCTCTCGAAAAGTAATGCAAGCGTTCACGTTCAAACTCAAAAGCTGGGTGGGACGCCGCGCCACGCCGGGCAGGCATGGCGCGGTGGGGCCTTTAGTATCCCATCTCAGCCCCCATTTTTCGCCACAATAGCTCGCAATACATTCCGTGAGTTGGCAGAAGTTGACGTTGGCCCGATCAATACGTGCGCACAGCGCCCTCTAGCCACCATCGCGCAGCCAAATTGCAGTTTAATAGTTCATTAGATCCAACAAAAATAGCGGGGACACAGTTTAAATTCGGAACGTATCGATTCTTGTATCAGGAACGGATTCGTTAAATAAAGAACGATCGGTTAGTATAGAAAGAATAAGATCGGACTACCGTATACTCTAAACCTAGGGAAGACTGTTCATTGAAAATAAAAACTCCACAATGAATGTTAAGAAGTAATTTATAGTTGTTTATAGCTTCAAAGAAAGAATTTTATGACGATACAGAATAATTGAATGATGATTCTATAAACATAGAAAAACTTTTCAGGAACTTTACAGGTCCCATAGGCACGGCTGTGTGGTGTAAGAATGGCGATAACCTAAGAACACGATTCTATATTGTATAGGTACGGGGTCGAGATCACGTGAAACTTAGCAATTAAGATTTAAATTCAACTCTGTTCTGTTTTCAATAAATGCTGTCTTAAGTTTCAAACTTAATTTGCTATTGACTAATAATACCTAATCTATACATTATGATAATACATTTGTATCTTTATGATGATGTTTTTTAACTGTTTATATTGCAAAACTATACACATAAACTATAGACGGTATGCGTGGCCATGTTTTAAACTCAAAAAATAAAAAATAGTACATTTTCGTACAAAAAATATAACATATGAACGTGGTTCGGTTTTTACGAGTAGTACAAACAAAGACACTTCAATTAGCTGGTAAAAAAATTCAAAGCATACATAGGCGCATGTAGGAAGAAAACAAGAAACTGTTATTAGTAAATCGCTCTATGCGTTTTTTACATCCGCATTATGTGTACCAAAATTTTATACAGGGTGTAACCGCAAGGTGTAGTCATATTAAAGGAGCCAAACCTATACTTGATCTAGACCCTCTGTGCAAAATATCAAATAAAAATAAGTGACTTTTAATGTTGATATAACTTTAATTATGTTTGTATAAATAGTGATTGTCCGAAACAACCACTGCGTCACAACTCTATTGCTAGTTACGTTACTACGACTTCACAAATTCATTAATGAAACCTGGGCGGCCGCAAGCGGGGCGAAAGAACAGCTGACTACAATTGAAATGCCACTGTAAAAACATGATTTGAATATGTTGATAACACGTTAATATTAAGTAACAAAATCTTTAAATACCTAGAAAAATCGAATTATTTCTAACAATATTATTTTATACCATACCTATAATAGGTACGTACTTATTTACATACAATTTAAAGGATATTTATTTACTTATTAAGCCCGTAGTTACGCACGCCTTCATCGTATACACATTCTACATAATTTTGTATTAATACATTTATTTACGACAATTTTACAATAGTGGATACTTTTTTAATTGGTACTTACCTACTGTGCAATTCATACACGTTTTAATGAATTTCCTACGAATTGTAATTCACTGTTGTACAATGTACGAAATATTGACTTGTTTACGATAATTTTGAATAATAAGTACAATCACTACACGCACTGCTGGCACATTTCACACATTTACAGGTAAGGTTCAAAATGCCGACCTCCATGCAATATGCATATTTCCGTGCGTCGGTACAGAGACTGCTCTACTCTTTGAAGCATCTGCCGAGTGATTTGACTAAACGCCATTTCGATCCGCTGCCTCATTTCTTCTGCGCTTTCACAGGACTCCGCATAAACAATATTTTTATATGACCCCACAAAAAAAATCGAGCGGTGTCAAGTCTGGGGACCACGCTGGCCAGGGTACAGGACCTCCCCGCCCAATCCACTGCGGGAGACGGTCGTTCAGATGGGAACGTACATTTCAAGCAAAATGTGCGGGTGCTCCATCGTGCTAGAAAGTCATCCCGTGTTCCATCACGAGTCTCACGTATTGTGTCACTGGCAGGGCCATCAGAACGTCACCCAAGTCTTCTGTTAGGAATCTTAAATAATTGGCCCCATTCAGACTTGCCGGCAAAAACACTGGACCGATGACGGCACAACCTATTATACCAGCCCACACGTTAATCCGCCACTGGTGTTGAAAATTTGATTCCCTTGATACGCGGGGATTCAAATGAGTCCAAAAATGTTCATTATGCATATTGATAATGCCCGCACGCGTAAATGACGCCTCGTCTGTCCACAGTACCGACGAAGCGAAGTCGGGAGACCTCCCAACCTGGTCGCGGTACCAGCGGCAAAATGCCAAACGTAGATCGTAGTCCGCTTGTAACAGCTCCTGCGTTCTTTGAAAATGGTATGGGTGCTGGCCATCATCCCGTAGCACACGCCACACACTCATATGGTTCACACCACCAAAGGCTGCCGCAGCACGACGAGTACTTGTCTTTGGATTGCCGAGAAAATGTTCCAAAACATCTGCCTCGAATTCTGGGTCTCGTGAACTCGGCCGGCCTTCAGAACTGGAACCACGGAACGATCCACTATTATGAAGTCTCATAACCATCTTCCTGAAGCATTCCACAGCAGGAAATGGTCGACGTCGATTTTCTGGGACGCCATCAATAAACTTTGCCCAATAAATTTGGCGAGGCTGGCGCAAGCTCCCATCGGCTGCGCCTACGCACAACATCATCTCTTAGTAATCACTATTGCTTAAGCGTGACATAGTTTAAATAAACACAAAAACAAGACACAAACAAAACGATGACACCTATTTAGTCCTCACAACGCAAACGGCAATTACAGACTGTTACAAAAAATTAAAAAATAGCACCTCTGCCTCAGCGGCGGCACATCAAAGGACGCCGACTGAAACGCAAATTTTGGAATATAGGGTAACGTTTTCATAATGTACCTACAGGGTGAAATTAAAATGATTACCATCCTTTTGAAATAAGACCCTTCTCCTGATACAAATTACATCATTACATACACATTAAACGAATACCTATATCCTACGTCTA